AATGGTACTCAAACGAAGTGAACCATTCATGGTTAACTGTAATCTGGATTCATTCATGATGGGTTGATTATTAAGAGTGACAATGTTGGAGTCTCGTTGCGTCTTACTTGATTTTTTGTAAATTTTTACGTGGTAATGTCTTTGCACAGATTTGTTCGCAAATGCTTGTTCATAGCTGGTTATCGATTCTGATGACCACCTAAGGTATTAAGATTTTTTGTTTGATAATTTGGAAAATTAATGGTTACAACGTTTGTAGTTGTGCTTGTGAAAGCAGACAGTTTACTCACTCATCTTAGGCTGTGGCTTATTGCTCACTTAGGCCGAAGCTTACCAAGGGGTTTACGCTGAGGTTTACAGTGGATCTGACTTTGAGGCTGAACTGGGCATTCTTTTCACTGCCTATTGTAGCCCGTGCCCTTTCATAATCATATTCGAAGATTATTAATCCGTTCCACCACTTAGAAATCGCTCGAAACTGATCGTGTTTTGAATGCTTGTGCCACTTGAATACAGCGCTGTACATAATTCTGATTGTTAATTGTGGCAGTTCAAACTGAACGCATGTCAAAACGAACTGCATTATTTCACGAGTTGCACCAGCTCAACGAAGTTTTCGTTCAAGCATCCTTTCGTATTGCCAATCTTTTTCATACTTTATCGCTTTCTAGTGTATACTATGGTTCATCATCGAATCCAGAAGAAAAAACGAAATAAACTGAAACCGGTTGATCCGTTCAACAAGAATGCAAAGCGGTTATCTGAAGCCAAACTCAAGTGAACCATTGATTTGCATCTCTATTTCAATTTTCTAGCGGAATAATCCAAAATTTTAAAATCGATTTTTTCTTCCAACCTCATCCCAATACAGTGAATTCATAAGTCTTTTTGGTAAGTGAATTGCTGTCAATTTTTAGTTGGAATATCGATTATGAAACTTTCGATTGTATTCACCAGTGATCGCAATTGCATTTCGATAAAATTAACGAACGAACAGATCTCTTGATCCGTACTCACTAGATAACTGTTAAAAATTCCACTGCAGTTAAGAACAAGCAGTTTTCTTCAGAGGCAAAAATCTTGATCCCAAAACTGATGAACAACCAATACCTAAGCGATTGCTGGAATTGCAAGAGTTGTCGAAAGAGTGTGAAGCAAAAACTCAGGAACGAAAGAACAGGAGACCCCGCAATCGTATAATAGGTTGGCATTTTGGTTGTTTTTCGCTGAACAGCTCAGTGAAGAGAAGACGATTGCTGATTTCGTTATCGAAAATTGGGTTGTGTTGGATTGTTGAACGTTGTCAAATGACGCTGATTGTAAATGTTTGTTTTGAGGATTGATTTTGACGGTTCAAATTATACGTTAAATCAAGCTAAAGCAGCTCGTTCCGTGTTTCGCGGCAATTGAATTTTTTAATGTTCTATATTCTTAGAGGAATCATCAAAAGCTGGATTTGAGAGGCGTCGTTTCGAGAATGATAGGCAGTTGGTTCGTCGAGTGAGCGCCGTTACAACTGAGGAAATTGATGAGAAGCGTTTATTGGTATGTTTTTCATTGCGAAAGTTTTCATCGTATTTTGTAAATAGTCGTGTGTGCAGTGGGTCTGTTTGTTGTAGAGACCGTAACACATTCATTCAATTAAAAGAGCATAATTCAAGGCAAAATTCGAATTGGGTGGAGTGGATCAGCGTGAAATAGAAGCGGAATATAAGAAAATGGATGAAGAAGCAAAACAACGACTTGATAGAAAATTGGAGCAGCAGAAGTCCGTGGCAAGAAAACGTAATCATAAAGATCCCAAACAATGCGGCCCAACGAAACCATCATCTGCTGCTGAGGTTCGCTATCAGCACTGAATATCAGTCGTTTTTACGGTTGTTTTTTCCTTTTGAGTTTTTTGTTTGGAAAATTTGATAGATTTTATTCACTAATCGGGCCAAATATTTCATCCGGCAATACATGTGTTGTTTCCAAGTGTACTCGTGATAGTTCACCATGGTAATAACTTTAAGACTGCTCATATTTTTGAACATTCATTAGTGGAATACTCTTTGAAGGTGCATCCATCGACAGCGACTGAGTCAAGTCGAAAGTTGACAAGGAAAGAAAGATATCGTGAACTGAAGAAAGCTCGTCAAGCTGATGAACGCAAAGAGATGATTCTGGATGCGAAGGGTTTCTTTTTAGCGTGTTTCAAGTTCAGTTTTGAGGTGGATTGAGCAGTAGTGAAATTGCGGTTCAATTGAACAGCTGTATTTATGATGTAAAGCGTTTTTGAATGGGAGATTAGACATGAATAAGTGCTGAGTGGAACAACTAGAGATGAGTGCTGGAATTGAGCAAATTTCGAAAGCGGTAATGAGACAGCAGACGATTGCTTGAGACGTGAACCGCAAACGGGTTTTTACGTATATGTGCCATCTTTCTGTCCGTAAATATAATGCAATCACGTCACTGATCAAGTACTCACCGTCAGACTATCCTAAGAGAGCAACACTGTGACTTAAGCGACCTCTCTCTTTGCATGTTGTCGTTTCATCACCATTCTTCTCCACTCTTCAAACAATCTTGTTCATGTGATGAGATTTGAATTGATTTTGAACGATGTTCAATTCGATGTACCAATTAGAGACGTCTAAATATTGATCTAATTTGGGCGATCAGACAATGGAATTAAGTGGTTGTATTTTCAGAATTTATACCATTTGGTAGTCGTGTTGATGCACCACCATTGTTTGATGCTTATCAGCGTAAACAACTCAATCCGATCTTCGCAAAAGTTTGTTATTATTGGTTCTTCGAACGAATTAATGCAGTTTATCCGAGGAAAATGAGAAGAATGAGACGGAAACAATGGAAAATCTGTCAAGAAAATGATTCTTCAAGTGTTCAGCAAACATAATCGATGCGTTATGTTTAAGCAATCTGATATGAGTCAATTTATAGTATTAGTCATGATTCACATCTATTATCATGTTATTATGTTGTGTAATTGTTTTAGGCTGGTAGTAAACCATTATTGTTAAAATCAAAATTGGAACTGAAATCTGATGTTCACGATACGTCAGATCGGCTGGAGGCTGTCAAGAAACGCAGCGAGGAAATGGCTGAAGAGAGGAATCGTGTGATCGTTGCTTATCGAATGCTCAAGAAAAGTAAAGCCAAGTCTGGATTATAACAAGAATAAGTGCTGATATTAGCGGATCAGTCATTTTCAAATGCAAGAATTGATTAAGTTTGAAAAATAACGTTGTTATTCGTTAATGTGGTAACAGATTGTTCATTGTTAATATAATGTATGTGGTGGTGTCACGTTTGTTCGATTAGTGTGCATCACAAAAATGATATATTATCATTTCAATGCTAATAAATTTTCCTCCTTGAACTCGCATATCGTTGGTCTATATAATAATATATAATCTGCGGCTCAATAGTCTCAGAAGTAGATGTAACGTAGGTTCACATGTGGATAGTTGTTTTTGCTTATTATAACCTAAGTTGAAAGCCATAAATGGATTCGTTGCGAGGAGTTATGGAAACTAGCGACGATTTTATGATAGATATTAACACTGGAAGTTCATTCATGAAACATCTGAATAGCGGACGAGTGATTGTAGTTGCTCAGGAAAGAAATTAATGGCAAAAGTCTTTTAAATGATATTCTTTTCCCAGTAGCGTATATCAAGAAACGTTGAAATAAAAAAGTGAAGCGGTTGGATTGATGTATGAACTTCTACTTCGCACTCTCAGTGATTCATCAGTACCGCTGAGTATCATTGCTATCATTCATTCGAAAGCGTACACTTATTTGCCGTGATTCACATACATGAATTACTCTGAACAGTTTTGTTTATCATTAAACGAACATAAACTTTAGGGTTTGCTTCGTGCAGTAATGATCACATATGTTTCTTTTGCACAATTTGCGAACAAATGCTATGCAGATGTGCGATTATGAGCAAAACTTGTGTATGGCGTTGATTGAATGAACCTGAAAAATATTTTCCTTTAAACATCAAAAAACTCTGAAATGAACATAAACACCCGATGATTTTTGTTGCGATGTAATATCGCTTTTCTCACTTTATGGTTTCTTCAATAGAGACATATAACCTGATAACACCAAGTTGATGAAACCATTATCACTATATAAAATGACATACAGTATAATTCAACACCTAGTTAATGAAACCATTATCATTATATAAAATAACATACAGTATAATTCAAGGTTTGTAAGGCAGTCAAAAAGAATCCAAATAAGAGTATTTCTCTGTAAATTTTTAAAACTAAACTTATTAACGTCTTTCCAGTTAAAGTTGTGAATACAAACAGACATTGATAAATAAATCGAATCATCACTGGCAATAATCGTTTGAATACATTTCAATTGAATGCATCGTAAATTTGCATTTTCATCCGCTCATTAAACAAATATTTTCGATGATGTGTTTTCTGTAGCCTTCAATTAGTTTGTTAACTAAAAAGGTTATCGTTTTGTAAAGCAGCATGAAGGTCTTGGGAACTGATTCCTAGCTGCACTGCTCATTATTGTAACGTTAGAAATGACGACGTGAAGGATAAAATAATGTAATGATGTTATTAATAGCACTGTGTGGATGTGTCTGTGTGTGCAACAGATGTGTTGGATATCGAAAGCTAAAGAGTTGATATAAAAGCAATCTCTCATCTCCAACATTATCAATTGCCACTATCATATGCTCTTTTGTACCGTTCACTTCAATTCCATTTTATCATCTGTTTCACTCACTAATAGCATCGACAGTTGTATGATTATCGCTATTCGATGCTCACATTTCTGGTGTGTTTATATTATCGTATGAAAATTCATCTCGGATGAAAGCAACATTGAAATTTCTTCATTCATTTCAGTTTTAGTGAGCCAAGAAAAGAAACTGCTCATAAGTGGAATGCTTATTTAGTACAATTTAAATTAGGTTACGTTAAGTGCATAAAAATTGAAATCAGTGAAATGATTTAATCCGATTTTCAGTCTCATAAATAAACATTCGCTTGCTAGTTAACATCTGTGGGTCATTCCCTGCAGTAACTGGAATGCCCTCTGCGAATGGATGACGTTTATTAGCAACTCAATGAGGCATATATCTATCTATCAATTCAACGCTGGTATTCTATAAACATTATATCGATATATATATATATATATTTCGATACATATCATTGAACTGTTACTATTATGTTACGATCGAGTATGATTGTTGAGTCTCTGTGCAAGTGCTCAGTGAGGTAGGAAGGAGGTTTTACTAACGTGTTTAGGTTTTGTGCCATTCATAATGCTCGGAAATGGTGCTGTAAAGTGCTGAGTTCGGCTTGCCGAAGGCTTATAGGCTATCAGCTTGTTCATCGATTAACTTTTTACGGACGATCCCATATATCCGAAATTGCTCGTTTATTCCTTATCGTTTTTATTATCAGTTTTTTCTTTCTCTCAATTTTTGAAACACTTTTTTGCTTTTATATTCTCTTCCGTTTCAGACATATTATAGTTGACAGTTTATCACCACAATAGATCGCATTTAATATTTTCGTATATTGTCATTTTTGTTCTTGTATTGTGTTTTCAATATGTTTCACTAATCCTCTGAAAAAAATCATGATTCACATCATTCTAAAAGCTTTCTATGAATTTTTTTCAACTTGGAATGTTTTTGCTTTCTTTATTCTTCGGCGATTAGTTTCCGTTAAAAATGTTGTCTCGTTCTCTAGGTTTGTTTTCTGTTTTATACGATTCATATTTTTTAAAATTTCCTTTTGTTTTAAGACGTGTTTTCACCAAAAAAAAAAACAAAAAACTATTGATACGTTCTCTATAATGCGAACACCACTGAAATATTCCGATTCAGGACTGTTGATTGTGTACTGACTAAAATTGTCATTTTCAAATCAACAAATTTATTGTATTAATAGCTATTGATGACTCAACGAATTGATTCAAACTCCCTAGTACAATAGCGTATCAACTATGAGCGCAAATCTTACCACTCATCGAGAAGTCTTGTAATGTGAGCAAAATTAGTTGATCTGCAAAAACTGGCTGAAAACAATGCGAGAAGTTTTTCGTCCATTTTCAACCATTTCCAGAATTTTTTCGTTGTAGTTTCACGTTTAATGACGACTGTCTTGAAAGATCAGTTGACTGAAATAATTAAGCAATCACACATCAACACACCGAATTAAGCTCCAAAAAATATCAACATTAATTCCATGGTTTTTATTCTGTATAAGATTTGCAGTGATCTTCTCTAATTGCGATGCATGTTTTGTAATATGTAAGGTACAGTCTCACTAATTAACGAAAACCCCAAAAAAATACCGTACATAAAAACGAAGGTATTTTAGACTCATGTAACGCACCAACCAACGTTTGCGAATAAATGTTGTGCTAGCGATGAATCGACATTAAGCAAAAAAAGTTGAAAAAAAAATCAACAACCGACTGCAACTGTTTATGTGCCCGTGAACAAATCTGTTCGTGCTCTAAGCTGATAATCATAACATGAAACAATAATTATTGAAGAAAGAAGTGCGAAAAAGGAGGATGGTGTTGCTTGTATTGCTGCTCTTGTTGGCAGCTTTCACAAGCGGCACATACGCAGAAGTTCTTGTGCCACCGTATACGAATCTTGCTCTCGGAAGACACATAGAAGCATCGTCCACTTGTGGTGAACTTAATGGTCAACCGATAAAAGAAATGTTTTGCCAAATTGCTGGTTTGTTCACAAATTTGTTTGTTTTATTTGATACTTTCTTTTAAATGCTATAATATTCACTCTTTGAATATATTATCATTTGATCGCTTTTCAATAGTTTCCAAGTATTCCAATAGTTGCGTTCACCCATATTCTTGTGGCTTTATCCTATTTTCATCCGTATATAATATCAACTAATAAACAGCATATTTAGCGCATTTATTTTCGCTTGCACTCTCATGTTTTTGCTTTTATTTTCCAATAATCGTAAAATTTTATCAATATTCAACGTTTTTCCATGAAATATTTGTTATGTGCACTATTCATAACCCGTTTTCAACATGCCAAACCGTACAATCCATCCATTCTCACACAAAAATCGCTAGGTTAATGTGGTGACGTTTTCTGTGTTGAAATCTCCTCGTTATTCGTTCTCTCTGCTTTCATTCATAACAGTCGCAATATTGTCGCCCACTTTCTGTAATAAACAAGCTCCAATCACTGCTCGCAACCTACCGTAATCTTCCTATTAATTTTCTTAGTCTGAGAATTTTTGATTAAAAGGGGATGTTTATTGTTCAACATTGATAAAAATTTGATGAAATCGTAAGACATAAATTTATACTAGATTTTGATTTCTTTAAATGATGCATTCAATTAACGCGTCAGTAGTTTCAAAGTAATTCTCTTTTGTATAAAATTGTAGAAGACCACATCGCATATTACTGATGCGGGAGAATATCGATGATGGTTGCTTGAGGGTTTCCACACCAGGTTCTTGCAGTGAAGATTAACTGCAATAGATTGATAATGTAAAAATGAAATAAAGTTTTTTAAAGGTTCCAATCAATACACTCCACTTAATCAGTATTCTTATACTGCCGAAAATGATCTATCGGTTTTTGCTGAGTTAAGAATGGAGAAGCAATCGTTCGTTCAGGTATATGCTAACTCCTTTCTTCTTCCACATTATTGTCGACTCATTCTTTTTCAAAGTTTACAACAAAAAACCTTGCATACACTTACGGATGATTTTTAGTGATGTGATGAATTTGTGTGGAAACTTAATTTTAGGGTGGTCAAAATTGCGACTTTTGTGAAGCGAACAGCTCATACGCTCATCCGGCATCGAATATGGTTGATGGAATGGCGACGTGGTGGCAGAGTCCTCCGTTGAGTAGAGGAATGCAGTATAATCAAGTTAACATCACAATCGACTTGGGACAGGTAAACAATAGTTTGCGATCTTTATTCATCGTATCTCTAATTCAAATCTTTTTTTCTCTTTGACAATGAATGAGAGTTTTTCATTCCAATCCAGAAGTCACTCAGCTTATTGCTTGATAGGAATTTCACGTCGCATATGTGTGGATCCAAATGGCAAATAGTCCAAGACCAGGTTCATGGGTATTGGAGAGATCTGTTGATAATGGTGAGACGTTCATTCCATGGCAGTATTTTGCCGAAACTCCGGCTGAATGTGATCGAGTGAGTAGTATTGGTTAATTTTTATTCGTTCTCGTCCGAACATTTTGGTAGTTTTTGTTGAAAAGTTTCGTTGTTTCAGAAGAATGCGATTTGTATTTTACGAGGATAAATATAAATGAATCATAAGGAGACATACTCCATGAGCTCATTTTATATTGCTGGAACAATTTAATTTCCAGCTGTTCGGACGACAAACCTTACAACCAATATTGGAGGATGACACAGTCATTTGTACACATGAATATTCCGGGATTCACCCAATGGAGAATGCAGAAGTAAACTTCAATGATTATCAGTTATAGTTCTTTCTGTAAAACATGCAAAGAATGATCTCGTAAGAGAAGCGTAATTGGAAATGTTGATTCTTAATCCAGCAAAATAACTGAATACTTTTGATATCCCACCAATTTCGGAAATTCGACCTCGTAAAATTTTCCTAGCGCGATGAAAATCATTTGCATTGAACTGTTGAATCGACTTCTTGTTTTCAAAGGTCACAAACTTATGAAACTAAATAACAATTTGTTTGCAGATAATGATTAATCTACTGGAAAATCGACCAGGAAAGTTGAATTTCAGCCATTCTTTAGTATTGCAAAATTTTTCACGTGCCACCAATGTAAGGCTACGTCTTCTACGCACAAAAACCTTTCACGGTCATCTGATGGATGTGACGCGTCGAAATGATCCAACTGTTACTCGAAGGGTTCGTTGGCTTCATAATGCTGTCTTGTTGTTGGGTTTTGTCGAGCGTTTAAATCTGCTTCATTCACCACGAAGCACAGTCGTAGTAATCGAATTCCATATATAATAGATTGCATGATACGGTAATCAGTTACGGTGTTTACTCGATGATATTACAGTACTTTTATTCGATCAAAGAGATCTTCATGGGTGGTCGATGTGTGTGCCATGGACATGCCGATACGTGCGATATTCTAGACGTTCGACGNTCCACGAATACTTCTTTGTAGGTACGAGATGCGTTGAATATTGGAAATCTTTTAGACAAAACCCGAGTGGCCTCATCCGTCTAAGCCTCAACATGAAGTAAAACCTAATTTAAGCGGATAAAGCTGGAACTGAGGCGAATGCATAGTGTGCATCGGCTACATTTAATAAGTTGTTTTGAATATTGAAGATTCAGCTTTCGAAATCGTTCCACTAGGCATTGTTGGCGATCATCAAAGAGTGCAACTTGACAAGAAAATGAAAAACTTGTTGCTGAAAACCTCTAATTGTGACTTTTTTCTAGATACTGATTTGTAGATATGACAAAAGAATCTGAAATTCTTCTGAAATTAACATTCTTGAAACAGTATCGATAAGGCAATAGTTTATGTATTTTCTGAAGATGTGAGCATAATACATGCGGTGATCAATGCGAGAAATGCTGTCCAGGATTTGAGCAGAAGAAGTGGCAACGTGCGAAAGAAGGCGAAAAGTTTGTTTGTGAACGTTAGTTTCATTCACATTCTCTTATCGTTACATGAACACAAAATTTATGTTGTGCACAAATTTGAATGATCGATCAACATTCGTTTATTATAGCATGTAACTGTCATGGACACAGCGAGCAGTGTGAATATGACGAAGAGATTGATAGGAATCATTTGAGTTTGGATATTCACGGTGAATATGAAGGTGGCGGACGTTGTTTGCATTGTAGGGTTAGTTGTTATTTCGTTACAGCCTTGTTTTTCACTTCCGACATATTGGCTGTACATTGTGGACAGGTAGAGATTACTGGAATGGTGAAAAGGACTCATTATAGTTTTGAAATTGAAGCGTTTCTCTGATCAATCAGAATAAGCACATGAAAACTTCATTTTAGGACAATACAGAGGGTATAAACTGTAACAAGTGCTCTGCTGGATATTATCGACCACGTGGCAAATTCTGGAATGAAACCGACGTTTGTCAGCGTATGTTTTTTGTGGATCACTTTTTTTGTGCAGCTGAAAATATGAACGCAAATCTGATGATGCGTATAAATTTGGGCTATTTCGCGCTCGGAGCATACCACTCGTAATGATAAGAAAAACATTTTTGCAGCATGTCATTGCGATCCAACCAAGCATACGGGTATATGTGCAGAAGAAACTGCAAAATGTGAGTGTAAAGCACAGTTTGTTGGTGAGAATTGCGATCAGTGTGCAATGGGATACTATTCGCCACCTGAATGCAAGCCTTGCGAGTGTGCAATTAATGGCACTGTCGGTGGTACATGCTTGGTGCGTTTAGTTTATTCATTTTTATTTTTTGTGAGATTATGCAATTGTACATATTGAGGGCGTTTAGCAAATAAATGTTTTTGCTATTTCTACAATCGACTGCGTTCATTATGAATCGATATAGCTAAAGCTTTTATGTAATGTTTTTTGATGGCTTTAAAAGTTGTATTAATTTTTAAAAATTTTCTCTACAGTATGACTCAGTGTGACAAAAATTTTCAATGTTTCATTTGAGTTGAACTGACTCAACGAGAGAAAATTCCAATCATTTGGTTATTGTAGCCAATCGATGACCAATGTCCGTGCAAACCCAACTACGATGGCGTTTTCTGTCAGTCATGTGCAGCTGGCTTTACGAATCTGACTGCTGGTTGCGCTAGTTGGTTTTTTGTAATTTTCATCATAACAGCACTTATGGCTCGATGAATCTCTCAAGACAGTTTTCTCAATTGAGATTATTTGCCAACATTCCCTTAAACATGCATATGTATAGACGATTTTCAATTGTTGCAGAATGTGAATGCGATGAAACTGGATCGTTGAACAACAACTGTAGTGAATCAACTGGTCAGTGTATTTGTAAGCCAAATTTCGGTGGCGTTTCATGTGATGTCTGTGCGGATGGCTATTTTGATTATCCAAAATGTGAATGTAAGGATTTAAATGATCTGAAGGACCTTATTGTAATCTTTAATTTTTTTCCTAAGTACCACTTTCTGTCGTGAAAAAAAAATTAGATCAGTTAATTGTGAGTAAAACTGAGGATCAGATGGCATTCCGGTTACTCATCGATCATCAGCGTATGTTATTGAGGATGCAACTTTTATTTTAAATTCGAACCGTAATATTGTATTCGTCTATTTATACGAAATATAATGCAAACGCAGTGATTGTATATTAGTGTTTTGTAAATAATTAGATGAATAAGAAATATTCATTTGCATTTTACTTATATTCAGTTATGAGTTTGCCATATTCAGACTGTGATTGTGATGCGAGTGGAACAGAAGAAGGGATCTGTAACAAAACAAATGGAGTTTGTTTATGTAAGCCTGGCTTTGCTGGTGACCGTTGTGATCAGTGCGATAGTGCATTTTACGGTTATCCAAACTGTAAACGTAAGCGATATTTTTTGCGTAATCAAAAATTTTTCTTTCATCAAATAATCTCTTCTTTTTGTTCAATGATTTGTTGTACAAAGTGTTTTTGGAACCCAACTAAAATCGTACACTGATTCTTACTTAGTTGAAAGGAAATCAATCTTCTTATGGTGTGCCACACTGTGCAGAATTTAATTGTAGCGTGTGAATGCAACACGATTGGCTCAAAATTAAGTGAATGTGATTTAAAATCTGGTGATTGTCCATGTTATGCAAACTTCACGGGTCGGCAATGTGATCGATGTGCAGCTGGCTATTACGACTATCCAAATTGTAAGCCATGCTCTTGCCTTGCGAGTGGCTCCAAGGGCATGACCTGTGATAGTAGTGGTCAGGTATGTGAGCTTCATATTTATTTATCTGTTTACATGAGTCATTCAACTAATTTATTTCAATCATTTTCGTTGCATTGTGGTGATGAAGTGAAGCGTTTCAGTGCTATTGTAAAGCAAATTTCCAAGGTGAACGTTGTGATCAGTGCAAAACAAACTTTTACAACTTCCCCATCTGTGAAGGTTTGTTGATAACTCATTATGTTCACTTTTCGAGTAAAACGTTGTTGAAATTTTACAATATTGATGAAGAGTGATGAATTTTAAGAATGCAATTGTAATCCAAGCGGAGTGGTCGCATCATTTGCTGGTTGTGATAAAGTGGCACCAGGCGAGCTGTGTACATGTCGTGCGAATGTTATCGGTCGCACTTGTGATCAGTGCAAACCAACGTTTTGGGATTTACAGTATCAACATGCAGAAGGTTGCATCAGTTGTGGTTGTCACTTAGCTGGTACAATCTCGATGCTGAACGATTGTGATCCAATCAATGGACAATGTTTCTGCAAACGACATGTCTCGGGCCGTCGTTGTGAGCGCTGCGGAGATGGCTTCTATCAACTTCAGTCCTATGATCAACTCGGATGTCAACGTAGATTTACTCCTCATACTCCCGTTTGTATTCTCAGACGCATTCTTCAAAAGTGAAATCATATCGTTTCAGCATGTGAATGTGATATTGGAGGTGCGTTGGGTGTTGGCTGTGATATAAACACGGGTCAATGTCGCTGCAGACCTCGTATAACTGGCCGCGAATGCAACAAGCCGATTGTAAATCACTATTTCCCAACTCTCTGGCATAATCAGGTAGCTTTCGTCGAAGATTTCTTCATCGCTTCATGAATGTTTTCATCATCTTTATTCTTTTTGTTGGTTAAATCAACGTTGCGGATCATCTGTAATTTATCATATCTGTCGCAACATGTCCCAAATCAATCAGATGATCTCTCATTTTTAGTGTAAGTGCGAGTTCATACGTCAGTTAGTGTGACATCGCAGAAATTTCCAGCTGATCATANTTTTTTTCAGTACGAAGCAGAGGACGGCATGACGGCCGATAATCGAAGCGTGCGATTTGCAATCGATGAGAACCAATTCCCAAACTTCTCATGGCGGGGTTTTGCCGTTTTTTCACCAATTCAAGATGAGATCATTATTGACGTGATTGTGCATAGAGCTAGTTTGTATCGCCTCTTGTTTCATCACGCCAATCCAACGCAAGTCAATGTTGATGCTGAAGTATTCCTAACACCAACCTATACTCACACACAAGGTCTTTTTTTGTCAGAAATTTTATTGGCTTATATTCCATCAGAATACGTTCTCCAGATAATGTTGCTTGAGAGCAGTTGACTTGAACATTGAAAGTAGCTGTTTGATCATTTCAAGATGTGGAACAATCCGTAAAAATATCATTCGTTCCCACTGATGCACCATCCACAGTAGTTGTCAACACAAAACAACCGTTTGTGCTTAATCCTGGCCGATGGCGAATCAGAACGAAAACGAAACAAAGACTTTTCTTGGTGAGTAATAGTTAGTTTTCTGTTGCATTTGTTAGAAATGATGATATTCAAAACAGAAGCGAACATATTCATGTATCAACCTATAAGAATTGTTAAACATTTAAAGGATTTTATTGTGCTTCTACCGTCCGAATACTATGAGGGATCCCTGCTGAAGGAACGAATAACTGAGCCATGTGAAGCAAATAATACTCAGAATTCCACATGCATTGATCTTCTCTATCCACCATTACCAGTTGCATCAAGATTTGACGTGAACGACGATCGAACTGTCAACGAAATTGCTGAAGACGGCTCTGAAACGATTCTTGAAAAAGTAATTGATTCACTGTTGATTTTTGGTTTAACTGGATTGTAGAAGATTTGATGATTTTGATGAAAATTAGCGACTTTATCGCAAAACCGAACTGTTTTATTTGACGACAGCATTCAGTTTAGATAATTTTAGGTACCAGTTGAAGTTTCACCAGCTGCTATTGGTTCTGCTGTATTCGTTCGTGCCGATAACCGAAGTCGTCAAGTACAAATGAAATTAGATGTGAGTGTTGGCTGTTAGATGATAAAGTATTGTATCACAAAAATTAATCATATTACAACATTATGCATTCGAATTTTCACCTCTTTTTATTGCTCTCGTTTAGAATGTCAATCGCTAGTTTGAATAATTTCACAATCGTCTAGTTTTTAGCAACGAAAACTTTTCGTTCGCATCCAATTATTGACATAACTAGTTGAATTTGATTGCAAGCAGAAACAATGAAGTGGTGGTATTTTGTGCAATATTTGAATAACAATTCTGTGCAATGGAGTGCGTTTGCATCTCTCGTGCATTGCAAAAATGGATTTGTTCTTCATCGTAAATGGTTGCAAAATTAAATGGTGGACAAGTCTATTTTATAGGTGCCTGAAAAAGGTGACTACGTAGTGGTAACAGAATATCACAACTTGGAAAAAACCGAACAACCAGTGGAGATTAAAATTAATCAAAATAATTCAACAATTCTAAATGGAATCGTTAGCATACACTATTGCCCATATGCGTACGTTGTGCATTGAAACTTTTTTCCGATCAGATNNNTTTATTTCCTCAAAAATCTTGGCGTTTGATGAAACATAATACTTTAAGTAATATACTCATCTTGAATTATAAATCAGTCATTCCTAGTTCATTCATATTTGTTATTTATCATCCAGGTGACAATAAATGTGCCATCTCAGCTCTTGTTTTTCGGAAAGCAGCGAATAAAAATTCTGTAGCGTCATCACTGTTGTTTAGTCATCCGTTGCTTTGTCTTTCGTTTAGGATCGATTTTCAATAGTGGATTTATCCGAACATTGAAAAATTATCGAAAGTTTGCAAAAATTAGATCAGTTTATATGTAAATAAACATTGAGTGATAATGTCTAATCTGTTTTAAGCACATTTTGTCGCGAAGTTATTTCTTCGAACGGGAGTGTCGCAGTCGTTCAACTCGAAGCTGAAACACCGGCTATTTTGACGTTTACGGTTGAACCAACGCAAGAATTTGGTCTCGCTGCTGTTAATTTGATTAAATCTAAAGACTGGAATATCGATTACCTACATCAGGTATAAATGCCTACTTCAAATTGTATTCAGTTCCTTTTCGATAGACTTCGGAATATTTGTTTTCTGCAAAAAAATTTTTGAATTCGATTTTCGGATAGGATTTCGTAAATTTTTAGGTACCAGTCTGTATTCGCAAGAAGGGTAAATGTGTTGAACAGTGGTATCCACCAGCGCCGAATTCGATTGTTACAGAAGCTGAATCCGGAACAAATAGCAAGGGAGCGATCTCTGCTGAAAAATTGCCATTCGTTATCAGTAATCCGAAAGGAGTTCAAGTAATGGTACTTGACGAAAATCAGGTTTTTTTTTCAATGCTAAATTTCAAAATAACTGTTTTAGTGAAGCAATTCGTATATCGGATGAATGAAATCTCACTGGTATCATTTTTTCTCTTACAGGCAACAGTTGACATAGCCGGAATGGTTCCAGCACCTGGTCACTATGTTTTCATTGTGAATTATTTCAATCCGGATAACACACCAGTTGATGCTGAAATTTTGCTACAAAATGAACAGTTCCATCAAGGTTTGCAACTTAATCATTTACACGATCCACTGAGTGAAAATTCATCAGTTTCATTGCAAATGATATTCTAAATAATCACAAACTAATCAAAGTTCATTCATATATTCAGATGAAATAATATCATCTAATAACACAATTGGTGAGTGTTATTACATCGTTTAAGAAGTTATGCGCTCAACTCATTATTGCAATGGCTTTTTTCTAGATCGCTTTTGCATCTTTCCCACTCCGACAACTATTTTGCTTTTTGCAACGCTTACTCTGTTCGCTTTGCATTCCATATGTGCACATGAAGCTTACTAATACGCAATAAAATTAAGATGAATTATGCTTAAATATCGATGAATATTTTAGCATACGTACCATTCTCGTATTGCCCAAGTATATACGGTTGTCGAGCACTAATACGGGATAAGAATCGGCATGAAATAATTCATTTCTGGATGGATGATAAATACACGGCTTCGTTCTATTATAATAGCACCCAAAAAGGACCACTTTACATTGTAAGCATTAGCCTTTTATATCACATCTCATAATATCGTTAAAATTCATTGACCTATAACAACTGCAACTGCACGGGCACGTGGTACTGCTTAATCAAGTCCAGTATAGTTTATTTCATTTCAAGTGCTTATAGGATTCCATAACAACAGTACCTTATCAATCGTTCAGTGATTCACTTATGAATCCGCAACCTATTGATCTATCAACTGAATATGTTACTGAATGTCAAATTGGTAATTTTAAGAACGAGTAAGTTTGTTGCTTGGTTCTGATACAGTCAGGGATTAAAAATGAATGGTGCCTTGAAAATTTACGGTAAAACAATAATTCTTTTAGGAAATGATCTATTCTTGAGTTATTTGTTATCACTTCTTATATTTAAATGTTTATCTGTTGAAAAGTTTTTGAATCGATCTGTTAAAAACCTACAGAAAGTAAAAATTTATGAAAAATTGAGAGGAATTATAAACGAAGTATTGTTACAGCCCAGCAAATGTGAGCGATTATTGTCGTGAAAAAGTATTTTCGTTAACATCTGAGTTCAATATGGCTGCGCTGTCATGCGACTGTAACTCGCAAGGCAGTAAAAGTTTCTCATGCGACGAATATGGTGGCCAGTGCCCTTGCAGGGCCAACGTAATCGGTCGACGTTGCGATCGCTGTGCTCCTGGACACTACAGTTTTCCAGAATGTTTTAGTGAGTTGCAAATTAGAAATGCGCTTGAACTTAGAAAGAACTAATCGTGAATAGATCGAATTCAATGTAACAGTTGCGTCCCTCAACTAGGTTTTATCATTCATCAAAGCCACATAACCGCAACATTTTTGATAGTTCAAACAGCAAAATTATTTGATAACAGAACACAGATTGATCCTAATTTGGTCCATTCGGCTGAAATAAAAAGCAGCACGTTGATAGTGTGAAAAAGTTGGAATATGAATTCGTATTAAGAGAGAATAAGTGATTTTTAGAATGTCATTGTGGTGACAATCATCTGTGCGATGAGCGTACCGGTCAATGCTATTGTGCACAGCACGTTGAGGGTAAGCAGTGCGATCGATGTGTGCCGTATGCGTTTGGTTATGATCCACTGATTGGATGTCAACTTTGCGGTTGTCATCCAAATGGTTCTGAAGGTGGTCAACTGCAATGTGATCCAAATAATGGGCAGTGCTTGTGAGTGATGTTTGCAATTGAAGTTTCTCATTGAATAACTTGCATTTGAATTTGAATAGCTTTTGGATTTGCACTCAATCGATCAACAATTTTTCAAAGCAATTCATTCAATTTCAATAAATTTTCGTGAATTGTCGAGAGAGTGAAAAAAAAAAACACGAAAACTTGCAGATGCAAGGGAAACGTTGGGGGACGGAAATGTGACAGATGCCTGGCAGGTTTTTACGGTTTTTCACATTGCTATGAGTGTGCATGCGAAACAAAAGGTACAACTGATGAAATTTGTGACGCATCAAACGCGATGTGCAAATGCAAGGTGCGTTCTTTGTTTACAGTTCTTGATGGATAGTTTTGTTGTGTGATTTCAGTTTCATCCAGTTGTATTTGCGTAATCATTAAATGAAACACTTTCAGAAGAACGTTATCGGTGACAGTTGCGATACATGTCGTCCAGGCACATTCAATCTGCGAGCTTCAAATCCGGATGGTTGCTCAGAATGCTTTTGCTTTGGTGCTACTGACCGATGTCGTTCATCATATTTACCAGTCTCTTTCGTACGTCTTTTTTTCCAAATTATAATCCTTACAGTATTCTTGTTACTGAAGCATCTTCATTCCAATCAAAATGGTTTTAATCATTCAAACATAATTTGATAAACCTTTATTTTCGGCGTCATTAGATGAAAGTGCGATATTTTCATTCATTTATAAAGCGTTATTTTAATATTATTGTTAATAAATGGAGAGAAAAATTTTCATTGGATTTAGTTTGTTTATGTTAAATTTGTCCAGGATCAGCTAATTTTACAGATTGGATTTGACGAAGAAGCATGGAACGTCACTGATCCAGATGGCGAAATCACTCATTCGGATGGTTCAGTACATTACAAATCAGCCTCAGAAAATCCACCAAAAACTGTGTACTTTTTAGCGCCATTGGTTGTTGGTCAAGACTATACAAGTTCTTACGGATTGAAAGTTAGTGGCATTGTGTGGCATTTCACCTTGCTGATTTCTCATTATTGTTTTCATTACCTTTCTGATTGTTCTAGCACGATTTTTCTCTACTGATAACTGAAAATGTTTACGATGTCTTTATGAAAGCAAAAGAGTATATTTCATTTACAGTTCTCCTTCGTAATTTCGTCACATCCTGATGGGCAAGCAGGACATATGAGCGCGGCAGCCGATGTTCGCTTGGTTGGTTTCAATATGACACTCGATTTTTGGGCTAGTGAACAGCCTGCTGATCCGCAAAAACCATTCCACGTTGATGTCAGGCTAATCCCGGTGAGTGCGTTTTTGTTTTGAAATGTTCATGCGTGCATCTTTAATGACTATTTCTCTGATTGATCGGACTTACAGTTCAGTTTTTCAGGAGAATTTTTTGAATTCAAACGGCAACACAATTACTCGTGCAGATTTGATGCTTGTTTTGTATGACCTCAAGGAACTGCGCATAAAAGCTTCTTACTATGAACACTGTAGTTCTGCGACAATTACCGAAATCCTTCTTGAAGTAGCCAGAGATGATCAAAATTCTGTTGATACGTCATTCACGGCCACCTCTGTTGAGTTGTGTCAATGTCCTGCCCCTTACACCGGACCTTCGTGTCAGGTTTGTTTGTCCCTATCTCTTGTGGACCACAAAACAGTTGCTCGTTGTGATGCACAAGTATTTTACATCGTTCACAACACGTTCGTGCATATAATTATTACTCATGACTGAATAACATTCTTTTTTTGTTTCAGCAATGCTCACCGGGATATTATCGTGTCTCATCTGGTCAGTATTTGGGTGCTTGCGTTCCATGTGAATGCAACGGTCATTCGGGCAGTTGTGATACCGAAACGGGCGTGTGCTTCGATTGTCAGCATGATACTCGTGGTGATCATTGTGAATTATGTCGCAGTGGGTTTTATGGTGATGCCACAACTGGCAGCCCATATTCTTGTTTGCCCTGTGCTTGTCCACATCCATCTGCCTCCAACAATTTCGCGCTTAGCTGTCAGGTTCAGTTTAAGTTCTTATTTTTATATTTGTACTTCATTTTTAGCACACTAATGCGTTAACTTCACAATTCAGTCAACATCATTTCCCCGTAACTTGGCATGTTTTCTATGTTGTATTTTATCATATTTGAACAAAACGATATTTTCAATTCAATCTCGATATTTATGTTCTTAGCTCGTTCCGTATCAATCCACTTTTTTATTCATTCCTCATAATGTTTTATAATTTCGATGTAAGGTTAGTCTAGATCAAGTAATTCCGAGCGATTGCTCATTTCTGTTTGTAATAATAACTGACTTGAGCATCAAATACAGTTCTATCGTTCACTTAATGCTTGAAGGTGTAATTATATACAGACCAGTTTGAATGTAATGTGATAACGATTTTTTTGGATTTAGGTGAGTGAAACAGGTGTTTTGGAGTCGTGCACTTGCAGACCTGGTTACGCATCTGACCGTTGCGAACGGTAAATTTTCCTCTCTAACAACTAGAATTTTAAACTGTAGGTTTAATCGGAAATGATGAGAGAGTGTTATATCACTTTCATGCCCGTTCAAAAATATTTTCACGACCGCGGCTGCCGTCAAAAAAATTGCTAGAAAAAAATTAATTATATCTTTTAAAGTAGGTAACTGTCATGCATTTTTTATTAGTTTTTTTTTGGAATGATAATTCAGCAGTAATCGAGAAAATTACCATTTCATACATGTTGATGTATGTGTAAACATTTTCAAAATGAATCTATCTCATTTAGATGTGATATTGGCTACTATGGCGAGCCGTTACGCATGGGTGGTTCATGCGAAGAATGCGATTGTAATGGTAATAATGATTTGAGTGTGGAAGGATCGTGTCATCCACTCAGTGGTGACTGCGATCTTTGCATGAATAACACCGATGGACGACACTGTGAATACTGTAAACAGTGGTACTACGGTGATGCAGTCGAGGCGAAAAATTGTACAGGTAAAGCTAACCAAAAAAGTTTTTGCTAACGCAACAGAACGCAACCAATTTCGTGTTGCAGAATGACGAATGGAAAAAAATCTCTTGAATCACTTGGTGTTAGAAGAACGGGCAAACAACGAAAATATAAGTGTTGAAGTGTGAAAATCTGGACATGAAATTGAATTGCAGAGTGTGCTTGCGATCAATGTGGAAGTGCCTATTGCGATAATGTGTCCGGGAAATGTGTCTGTCAGCCGCTTGTTGATGGTGATAATTGTGATCGATGCGTGGTAGATTTTTTTTTTGAATTGATGCGTAATTAAATTGCCAGATTTTCGTTTACGCAATTGCTTAGATCTGATTAAATGACTATTTTGCTTATATTGCAATGATGGAATGACATTTTATCAGAACTCAATCGTTGCGAGATTTTCGTAGATTCATGAATAAACAACTCCTTATTTAAGGCCGTAATTCGTTAAAATTGGTGTGTAATTGAAATTCTTACAAACATGGAATTAAGGCAGACGCTTGGGGATTTTCACGTTGTCAGGGATGTCAAATGTGTAACTGTGCCCCAGCATCGTCGAGTCCTCAATGCCATGAGGAAACTGGCCAATGCGCTTGCATGCCAGGTGCTACAGGATTACATTGTGAAGCGTGTGAATACGGCTACTGGAATTATGGACCGTTTGGATGCAAAAGTAAGTATTCATCGATAGTGCCGATTACTTGTAACTGCTTCTTAAATTTCTGTTCAACACAGTTCTATGTTCATTAAAATGGCTGTTGCAGAGTGTGACTGTGAAGCGGATTTATCGTTGGGTACAGTGTGTGATGTAAATACCGGACAGTGTCATTGCCAGGAAGGTGCAACCGGTCCGCGTTGTGACCAATGTTTAGCGGAATATTTACGCATTCCTACGTATGGATGCCGATGTGAGTCTTGCCATTAGTATCACTACTACGAACTTCTTTAATCAATTTGTATGAGCGATTCAGTCCATTGTATGAGCGATTTATCAGTTGCATTTCAGTTTGCGATGAATGTGTGCATTCATTAAATGCTGATGCAGACTTGTTGCATTCTTCAATCACTAATGTTAACACAACTATTGGTAATGTTTCGACAACAGCATTGACAGGCGCACGTCTCAAGCGTATCGAAACGGATATGAAATCGCTTCGGGTACGATTATCTCTTGAATTGTATATTTCAGTACACTGAACATGCCACATTTGGCTTCAAATCGGGCGAAACAATTTGCTAGGTGAGAACGCATGGGAATAAACATGGACGTCTCTAAAGGATGAAATCTTTCATAAAACCCATAGTAACAATAGGTCACGCATTTTAACTGCCAGCTAAGGAAGATACGAGGTAAAAGTGCATTAGGGAAAGAGTACTGTGAAAGAGTGCACGTGAAAAGAGAGATGGTACTAGGAGGGGGGGGAGGTTATGAGTTATTCATATGGCTTAAATTGTTCGTTTGTAAGTATCGATGTGTGTTAAACTTATACGATCGATTGCAACTACAAAACTATTAATTGAAAAATAGAGATGATCTTTAAGAAGTATTCGATTGCAGGAATCGGCTGAACATGCGATTGGTTCAACGACAGATATTGGAATCGAAAATCTGAGTGGCGATGTTGGCGCAAAAAAAACAGCAACCAATGCGGTAGTGATACGAGCGAATCGCTCAATGGACTCTCTTGATACGCTTTGTTCAAAGTTAAATTCTATCATGGATCGAACTACTAAGGTATCATTCACCTATATTTATTGTATCTTTGTTAACCACATCTCTGCATCAAATCCCCATGCATTAAAAACACTTCGCTCATTTCCCTGCAAAAAATAATTCCTCATAAATGTGTTTACGCAACGATTATTAATTGATATATTCTATGTGATTACGTTTAGATATGTGATCACCTAATCTAATTTCTTATAGGCTGCATCCGATGTGCTAGATCGTGTTGAGGTATCGCATTGGGTGGTGGACTCGTTGAAGAGTTTAAGTAATGCGCTCATGAAAGGATCAAATGAACTGGATCGACAACATCGAATAAATGAAGCACAGATATTACTTGATAAAATTCGAAACATATCTCAAAGGTCATTCCTTACTTCTCCTTCCCATCTACTCACCACAATTTATCCTCAAATTCGAACTCAATTGTCAAAATTCTCGTTTTGAACAAATTTCATATTCCATTTTCATACTTGCGTCGACGAATCTTCATTAGAACATGAAACTTTCTTCAGACTCATCCTATTTTCAGCCTCGATTCGGTAAGTGTAATCGAAGAAGCGCTCTCGAATGCAACGCAAACCCTAAATCGATTGGATGAACAAAGAAATCGAACAAAAATTCAGCTGGACAAATATGCAAGTTCGGAAAAGAAGGCACAACAATTAATGCAGTATGCTGTTGATTACGGTGTTCATCTGCAGAACGTTTCGACCATAGTTCAATCTATTCTTAGAGTAAGTTTTTTCTAAAAGGAAGAGTTTCGTCATAATTCCATTTGAAACAACAACATTCGAATCACTCGATAGTGTCAGTTCAGCAAAAGAGTTCCGATAAGAGAGAAACCAATCTGTTTGCAGCGCCTGAATGACACCTCATTGTTTGGTGTGAAAGCCGTTATTGATGGCATTGAAAAGGATGACCAAACAATTGCAAAAGCAATCGATCAAGTTGAACAACTCAACAAAGCTACTCAGCAGTATAATAATGACGTGAAAACGTTGAGAAAGGAACTTACAAATATCATCAATGAATTGAATTACACGATGACCATATTCGAGGAACAAATCACTGAGAGAAAACGTATCAAACGAAATACGATTGATAAGGTTCAATAATTCTTTATTTGTTGGTTCACTTACCAAAACAATTATGTTTCACGTACAATTTCATTCGTATTCGTTCAACTTCCAAAGGCGATTACAACAGTAAAGTTGAATTAGAGTACTTGCTTAATCGTAATCATCCAATAATATGCTTTGTACCACTTAAATGGTATCAGAGAATAACTTTTGCCTGTCAAAATTGATAGCAAGTGGTATTATTTTCAGACAGCCTACACAAATCACGTCCATAAGCTGGAGACAGAAGCGACTCGTCTCTCTGGGATGTTCGGTGCAACACGACTTCAGGCTGAAGGTGCCGTCGAGGCCGCAAATACGTATAAAGAATTATTGAAAACGATCAGTGTGGCACGTGAACTGGCTCAAAATGCATCCGTTGATGCTAAAGAAGCTAAAGAGTTTATTGCAGGACAAGTGAGCAATGCACTAATTAACTCAGTTAATCGTTCTCATCATCTATGTAACACAAGCACTTTTGAGATGTTAATTCGCTTCAAAGAGATCGTTTAAGGCAATAAAAGCAAAATCAATGAATGAGGAGTCTGGAAATCTACTTCGAATGGCAAGTGATGCACGTAAGAAAACCGTTAATGAGATTGGTGTAAAGCAGTCAAAGTTGGGAGAGAAGCTAAATGAACTAGGTGAACATATTGACGATCAGAAGGGACGTATCGACGCGCTTAAAGGGATGTTCGATGATAGAGAAGTGGTCAGAAATTCGCTTGTTTTTCAAGAGGAATATCTTCTGTTCAGTACTGGATTGCTATGAAAGATTAGAAAACTATTATCTTGTTGAGAAAGTCACTTACTCAGGTGGAAAAAGCAAATCAATCAGAGAAGATGTCAACCGAGGCGAAAGAGCGAATCGACAAAGTTACATCATCAGTTGATCTCATTCAACCAGAATTACTCGACTTTGTCAATAAATCGAACGATTTCATTGGAATTGCAACCACTTCAATGGATGATTTGGGAACAGCCAGAAGTCAAATCATTCAGGTGGTTTACATATGGATTTTAATGCAGTGCAATCCGAATTACGACCGCAATTCACTTCAACAGTTCCATTGTATTGATTACTATGCCTCCGTAGGCATAGTAAACAGTACGACCGAACTAGAAGGAAGGAATTGATTTCTTTCAGTCGGTTCAGCGTAAACTTTTATGGATATCATCAACAATTTCTATGAAAGACCGTTCCTGAAGTTCAAGGCATGAGAATAAGATGTTTAATGGGGATCAGAGTCTTCTTCTTTGATAATTTTCGGAACAGTGTTTCAAGAAGATGTCTAATGATTAGGCTCTAACATATTTGAAAATATACCATTCGAAATTGGTTATGAGATACTATTTTGCTGTCTCACGGAGGACACCATGGTCAAACTCGATCGCTAGCCACTTTCAGCATTAAATTCCTTCAAATCGAAATTTCTCCATTCCAGAGGCCTCGAAAATCCTTTGACGAGCCTAGTTTCCTTCCAGTCCAGTAAAAACGTATCACTGCTCGTTATACCGAAGACAATTAAACGATCACAATTTGTATGTTCAGAAATGAGTGATCAATTCGAAGTTATTGCTGATCACAACACAAATTAGTCGGAAAACGAGATTGAGGTTCTACTGTGCTTCCTTCATGCGTTCTGACTGTACTAGATACTTCATCCTTTTAGACTGCTGCCATAACATCTATGAAGTAATTCACAGACTTGTGAATTATTTCCTAGATGTTATGGTTTGCATTCAACGAATTCTTTTGGTCCTAACAATAGATGGTGAATTGCGCACAATTCAAGATCAATCTTTCCATTGCGAATGGCCATTTCGCTTGAAACGACCCTGTTTCGTTCATAGGAAAGATATTTTTGATGATTGCAACGTTACACGATAACGATTCCACAGCTGTGTATACATATGCTTGTGTATTGAACGAAATAATTTCGGAATTCATTACAAGAGATGAATTACAAGTTTCTCTACACTTCCAGGTGGCTAATTTATCAGCACCAACGGTCAGTGAGCTCGAGAAGTTGCAAAATGCTGCACGTAACACTTCGGACGTTATTCGAAAGTGCCGTGAGAAACTTGACGCTTTGAAAGAGAAAATCTCATTAGCCAGAGATGTAGCAAATCGAGTTTGTGTTTTCTTTATATTTTTTGGGATTTTCCGAATGTTCTCATCAATGCGTCAGTGCTTCTTAACCTTATCCCCACCCCCATGCACACCCCAAAAAAATTTAAGATGTCCTCGCATCCCTGCAACAATAGTTAAAATGTCGTTGCATCCCTCATAACATCCACTCTGTATCTCTCATCCACTACAGTGAATATCTGTAGTGTAGATCAGTGCATCCCATCATAGCACGTTCTAGGCTTTTCGAAAATATCTACGTTAAAGTTCGTCCTTGCCTGCTTTACGCAAACTTATGTTTGAACTCCGTCCTCATTTACTTTAGTATTAAAAAAAAGAAACTCTACCTCACACCTCCTGGAATGCTATCTCGCACTCCTTAGGAGTGCCAGCACCTCCAGGTGAGAATCCCTGGTTTAAGTAAAGTAAACAAATCAGTTTATAATGTTGTAGATAAAACTTGGTGTTCACTTCGAAAAAGATAGTAGTCTTGAACTACCATTACCAAAACGTGTCACACGATCGGCTGCTTATACAAGTGTTGAATTATTCTTCAGGACAACACTTCGAAACAGTTAATTTTATCATGCGTTTCTCGTCAGAGCAATAAGCAAAATGCGTATTTAAGCAATGCACGATTTTTTCCGACTTTGATTGTGAGTCATGTAGAACAATTCCAGCGAAGATACGATTCACTATTTCTGTTTTCGTTGATTCACATAATCAGAAGGTTCTTTTATTTCTTAAACGTGCAGAATTACGGTAATTTGTGATTATTCACAGGTTTGCTGTTGTTCTTTGGCAATGAACAAGGTGTGGCTGGTACTCGGGTTGTTCCAACTGATGACTACATTGCGATTGAACTGGTTGATGGGCATCCACGTTTGATAGTTGATCTCGGCGTAACACCACTCATCATTACATCGACTGTGTATAGATCTCTATTGTTCATTCATTCAGTAACGACATTTCAGAAAAACATACAAAATGTCGAATGATTGCTCAGTTTGTTTGTGCGGCTTCAAAAACTATTTTTTGAAGGGATGCGGCTGATGGACATTGGCGGAAGATATTCGTGGAACGATTCGGTAAGACTGCTACGCTGAAAGTGTCGGCACCAAATTCGGCAAACTATGATGATGAAAAAAGCGACACAATCGATGGCCCCAAATCAGTGCTGAATCTGAATCAGAAAATGAGTCGTCTCTTTGTTGGTGGTGTTCCACGCAATGTGAACGTATGTCCCATCTGAATATTGCACCTTCAAATTAACAAATTCTAGTCACTTTTCAACTCAGCTTATCTATAATTCTTATTGCTCTCTTATTTAAGATTTCGAGTGATGTACAAAATCGTTTCTTCATTGGTGACATAGAGGATGTCCGAATTCTCAGTGAGTCAATGGGTTTATGGAATGCAAAAAGCGGTGGAAGTGTGAATGTGCAAGGCGCTGAACGTCGACCGTTAACATCGTCGATGGCAACTGATGAATTGGCACTTAGTTTCAATGGTGATGGCTATGTAGCACAGAATCTAGGCGCTTGGAATCCACGCAGGGAAACAGTATTCTCGCTCAACTTCGAAACATATTCTCCAGATGGTTTATTACTTTACGTTGGTAAAGATGTAAGTTATACTCCAATAACAACTAAAATAACTTTTTGCTCGTTTCTCTGTTGCTTTCATTTGCTTTTATCCATCCTAATACATGGTTTCAAATGCTATCCAAGTAAGGCACTAATGCGTTCATCCAATGAGGAGAGTGTATTATAATGGAATGGAACTTAACTTAATGTGTGATATAATTACAGCGCGACTTTATGTCAGTTGAGTTGCAAGATGGTGCTGTTAAATTGTCGTTTGATTTTGGTTCTGGAGTGGGTAAATTGGTGAGTACATCGAATCGTTATAATGATGGTAAATCACACTCTATGTATGTGCATCGTGTCGAACGTCACGCAAAACTGCAAGTTGATAATGATGATATAACGGAGGGTGAATCACCTGGTACAATGTTTGAACTGAGTGTCACGGACGTCTTCTATGTCGGTGGAATCCCTGCTAATGTTTCTGCGTACGTTAGCAATTACATTGATTTCGTCGTTTAGCAATCGATCAAACTTTTTACATGCCATAGCTCAGAAATGCAAATTCTAATTTCTGTACGAAACCGAAGAGTTCATCGACTTACGTTTATGATTTCAGTCGATCTGCTGCTGTTCCACTACGAGGATGTGTGGAAAGAGTGAAACTTGAAAACGATTTGATAGATTTGAGTAAAGCGATTGCTGCAAAAGGTATACAGCCCGGATGTCCAAGTCGAAGAGTTCGTATCGTTTCACTTCTCTCTGAACGTTCGTCTGTGATCATGCCGAATGCTTCAATCAGCAGTGATATCAGTTTGACGTTACGTTTCAAAACAAATAAACCGACTGCTCTTCTTATTTCGATTGATTCCCAGGATCAGGTGCTTTCATACTTTTATTGTTCACTTTCTAACGCTTAAATCATTTTAAAGTAAAACTTGAACTGATGCTCTGCTTTCTTTTGAGAATATTTTGAACCAACGGATAAATTTTTAGTTTTATTCAGCAGTTGTTTTCATTCGCTTTTTCTGATTTTATGCTATCGCCTAATGAATAGAGATTGTTTCAGGAGCATATAATGCAAGTACGTCTTGACAACGGCTTTGTGGTCGTTGATTTAGATGACGGTGAGGAATCAGTACGAACCGAACTGGGCTCCGCTTCTGATGGACAATGGCATTTTGTTGCAGTACACAAGACACCGCAGCAAATACATGTTGATCTGGATGACTTGTACACGGATAGCGCCGACTTGTCAGCCAACTCTGATAAGTCTTCAACCACACAGTCTGGAATGATTCGTTTCGGCAATATACCCGGATCGGATCTCAGTTTTGAAGGCTGCATTGGCGATGTCACTTACAATGGCAAATTACTGGATTTTGCTGATTCAGTGAACAAGGAAGTGGAATTGACTGGATGTTCATTGTTAGATCATATCGATGCGGCGGCAACATTTGCACCTCCGTTGAGCACAACAACCACCAAACCAAGAAGTCTTCCACTTGAGGTCGTGCAACAGGTTGCTGGTCAGACTGCAGCTGTCAACGAGGAACAACCCGCGGAAATACAACCGGAGAGTTCAAGCGTTAAGACGCACAGGCCACGAGCGATCAATGAGTGCACGCTTTTGAAACGGCCATACGGTGAGCGTGAAGATTCCACAGGAACGCGCTTTGGTCTTTCACAATCGTCACGTCTTGAATTCGATAAACCACCTGGATCGTTCGACAAGAACAGCGTTTTCTCAGTGCAGTTACGCGCCACCGCTTCTAATGGCATTATTATGTTTACAACCAACGATAAACATACCGATCATTTGGCCGTTTATCTCGTCAACGGCATTGTTCATTTCGCTTATAATTCCGGTTCAGGACAGGTTTGACAATATTTTTCGATTCGTAGTATCATTTTCGATTTTATTCCCCACTTTTTTTGAAATAATAGCGTCGAATTTCAAAAAGCTTTTGCTGACCCGTCGCATCAGTTTCTCAAATCTATTTAGGCACTTCTTCAAATTTAGACTCGTCTCAATATCACATCTTCTACCGACGTAATCCCTGCCATTCTTCATTATCTATTTTCATTCATATGTTTACACATTTTTCAGTACGAATACTCATTAACAAGGACTTACCAGACTAATTTAACCGATTCTGTACCACCCACTTGTTTTGTATTTGTTATTATCTCTAATCAAAAGTCTCAGTGAACATGGGATTCATCATACCTCAAGTAAATGAAATTAGCGTGACGTTATGTAAAACAATCAATCGTTCCGTAATGAAACAAAAATGTATGTACTGTTCTTGCGCAAATAACGATGAACTAATTGAAGGCTATCTTGAAATCGAATAGAAGCATTTTGGACGATGAATGGCACAGTGTACGTGCGGAACGAGAGGGTATCGCGGGCACGTTGTATATCGACGATGTTATGGAGGCGAACGGGCAATCGCCTGTCGGTACGGATGCGATTGATACGCAACCTCCGATTTACATCGGTGGTGTACCCAGTGCGCTTATTCCATTCGCTACAATAATATTGCCGGTTTGTATTTGCATCGCATCGTGACACATTTTTTAGCAGTAACACAAAGAGCGAGCATTGTTTTGCTTCGTTTATTGTATCAATCAAGTTTTTTTTTGTTTAGAGCGCTTATTAATCATGAGCACTTCTAGCCGTTCATCAACTTATTTTGCAATCTATAGGGCACCAAGTCGGTGTTCGGAGGCTGCCTGCGTGACTTCAAGCTGAATGACAAAAAGTTCGACGTTCCAGCTTTAGAAGTGGGCACAGTTCCGTGCAGTCAGTACACCGAAGATGGACTGTATTTCGGTCGTGAAGGTGGTTATGTAACGCTCAGTAAGGATCTCAAGGTAATATATTTTCAGAGGTTATTAGTTAACAGCGAGGATATAGAGCTGTGAATGCTCAGTAAATAATCACCATAGGCGTCAGTTAATGAGTGTTAAATTCTAGGTAGGATCATCGTTTATTGTCGAGTTGGAGGTACGTCCTCGAACCAAGACAGGGGTACTGCTATCGATTGGCGTACTTGAGTTCTTAACAGTTCAGTTTTTGAATGGTTCCATCAAATTCACTGTTGATAATGGTGGGGGTGCCGAAACGATTTCATTCGTTCCTCCAACAGAAAATGCACTTTGCGATGGACATTGGCATCACATTAAGGTTTATTTTTCTTTTCTCTCAATCATTTGTTGAATCGCGTTGAAATATCAGTCATTTGAGTTGTCCGCTTTTGACGATCATTTGAAGTAAACTGTTTATACATACAGTTCAGCAACGTCAACTGTTTGCTTTGCAGCTTTACAAGACAAAGAATTTGATGACTCTAACTGTTGATGGCAAGAGTAAATTGCATATCATGAAGAAAGGTAAAAAGACCGACACGAATACCAAAGATCCACTTTATCTTGGTGGTGTACCGAAAGGGATCAAACCAAGAGGATTGGATACAACCGGTATGATAATTGTATTTTTACCTTACGTTTTTTTTCATTTCTTTAGCAGTGAAACTACTATGTTTGCTTTTGTAAGTATTCTTAAAGTACATCAAATTCACTGTTGATAGTGGTGGTTATGAGACTCAACCGTGAAAAAGGTGATCATTTAATCGTCTTTTGCGAATATTTATTTCCAATGAATCATTAATTTTAAGATAGTTTCATCGGTTGCGTACGTGTGATTAATATGGGAAAGAAGCCGAGAAAACGCAAGAATGTGGATATCTCTCAAATTGCTGCCTTCGGTGATGTGCAGAGAAATTCATGCCCTGTCAATTAGGTCTATCCAGTTCTCGTTTGAAGTCCGTTCAGCTGAAGCAAAAAATTCGGTGCTCAGCTGCTGAGGTAGTAGTTTTCGATGAGGTATCGATTCTTTAACGCCCAAAAAGTTTTCATCTTTTAACATTAAACTGTTAACATTTAATTGTCTCGCTAGTTCCATAATCGACTTTTCTGCTCATTTAAAGTGATTCCAGTGTTTATTAAATTGGACAAGTGTTGTTGAACTATTTCAGAATATTGACTGATATGATTCGGATTAATTTTACAGAACTCGTTTCAACGCTAAGGAATATGACTTACTCAAAAGTAATAGCGTTTTACGCGTGTTTTTAAGATTTGTTAGTGACTTTTTTTTGCTCATGAGAACGATGTTCTTTGTTGGCGATTTAGCATTTCATTGACACTCGTGCTCCATAAAAAATTCATCATCCGTCTACTCGGTTATAAGTTCTGATTTAGTAATCTGATACAGTCTAAATCTGATAATTTTACGATTTCATATGGTTTTAACATTTGTGTATGCCTATTAATATCTAATAAAAATCACCATTTATTCAAGAGTCATATTTCATCACACACTTTCATCACATAATCATCACGTTATGAAAGAATATGGAACTGAAATAAACAAATGCATATTCGTAACAGATGTTCAAACCTGTTGCAAATATGCTGCAGATGAAAAAATTTGACTGAAATATCTCGACTTGTTTATGTATCAGAAACGAATAAGAAGTTTCATGTTCAAAGAGTTTTGTTCTAGTTGATTCTTTGAATTACTGTTATGGACAAGTGAAGCGTAGAAAATTAGTGGATTCATGCAAACGTAACGGTGATAAAGACTTTTCGAAATTTTCATCGGCAAGAATAAGTTATCTGAGAGTGAGTATTTCATGCATAACTAAATAAATAAAACTGAGAAAATCAAGAATTGATGAGAGTTACAGTTCAAAATAAACAAATATTTTTTTTGCATCATTACTGTGCTCTAGTGCTGTTCAAGAGTGAGGTCATGTTGATCGAAGGCTTTTATGAATGACTGGAAAAGGATTGGATGATAGGTAGTGTATGGGCTGTGGTTGATTGGATAATTTCTCGAGAACGGCTAATGAGCGTCTTAAATTAACGTTTTTCTTGGATGCACTTTGCGATTGCTTTCCTGGCTGAAACAACAATTCGTTCTGAGGAGTACAAACATCAGAACTAACATCGTTGCTTATTTTTGATAAATACCAGGGTGGTCCTCACTAATATAAAGAAAACTTTTTCTCCGAAAAAACTCCATTTCGCTCCTTAGAAAAGTGCCTTTTGATTTAGGAACAACCTATCTAAAACTTCACTGAAAAGAAGCAATTTAAAGATTTGTACTATACACATTGCGTTTTTTTCTCGATCAAAGAAATATGAAAATAAGAACCACCTTAATAAACAAATTTAAATTGAATGAATGGTGTCTCATGTCCAATGTCGAACGATGTGATTGTTTGTGTCTATATATTGAAAATTGACGTGAACAAGAATCGACAGTAAGGAACGAACTTGTGACGAGGATGATGAAGTTGGTAGGTGAGTATTATTTGTATGCAGGTTGATTGACGATCGTTTAGTGTGAACTTGTGGTTTTTCGTTATTTGTCACAATTAATGTCATTTTCAATGGAACTGACGTGGATGGATTTTTCGAGAAATGCGAATTATTTGCTGTGACGACGCCTTGTGGAGCGATTGTTGGTTCGTTGTGAGTTAGATTTACATCTTTGAATTGAAGGCTGTCAGCAGTGTCTGATGTGGCTCGTTTTAACTCACAATTATCATCGCTTTTCATTATGGCACTATTTTCATTATCACCGCTTGTTAGCATTCGAGCTGGTGATGATTCTTCGCGGTTCACACTGCTACAATATCAGTGAAGAACTAGTCAGCGTTTGGGAGTGAATTATAAAAAATACTCATCTTAATAAATTCTTTAAATGACAGATATTTAAATGAAGCAATGAAGCAATTCATTCTGTTCTTTTTGATTAAATGCTCAAAGAATCGTCCAACGTATGTATTTCCATTTAAACGCAGATTTTATGAAGCCTTATTTTCTTACCATTCAATGTTTTTCATATGCTGAATCACAAGCAAACAGCGTTAACCTCTTGGCGAATGAAGCAATCTCCTCTGTTTTGACGAATTGGTGTAGAAACGCTTCATTATCATCAAATTCGATATCAGATGTTAGTTCACTCATCGAGTCTCCCTTCATATCAATAGTTGAAAGCTCTTCTTGTGGTGATATCACAGTGCAAGTATCAACTGTTAATGAATTCGCCTATAATTGTCATTTGTATGCAAAAATTCAAGTACTACAACTTCACAATGTATAGCACTCACATCAAAAAATTACTTTGAGGTTGCGAAATTATTGTGAGACGTGAATTCTTAGGAATCAAATGAACACAAAATAATTGAATTGCACAGCACCTTTGAATGTTCGCTCTGTTGTTGTTCTCTTTGCTGCTTGCATCCCACTGCGAATGTGTTTTGGACACATTCTGAAAAGAATTCCAAAGTGCAAAAAGCATTCAATTCCAAAGGCGAATTGCCTCAAACTTGCCAGTGATAATATTCGAACACTAACCATTGTTAACACCGAAACGTCTGCTGTTCTTTATCGACTCATCGCTAATTGGTTGTACAATTGTTGACGTAACAGGAACAGTTCCATTCATTGTTGTATACATTGGTGGCTCCAGTTTTTGACTGTAATCTTTGAACTTCGAAAACAAAAACATTCCATTAATTGTGAGTAATGGCATTGTTGCCTTTATCTAAGTGCAATCCCAAGCAGATATTATAACGCAGTTAGGACGAGAAACTTGCAGCTGACTCACTCATTTTCACGAAATCCAACAAGTAACGCTCCCAAATAAAGATGGTTGAACATTATCTCGGATGCATGCTCGCTATCGTTGATTGTTCGCTGATTGCTCGTATCATTTGTTGTTTGAATTGATAATTTTCGTTGTTGAGATGATATATTGCTGTTCTGAAGTCGACCCGGATGCTCTTCATAAGCTGCTACAATTTGTGTTTGTAATAGTTTCAGTTTATTGTCACTTACAATAATTTCTCAATGCTCATCCCGTGCAACATTATCCATCATCAAATATCAAACAAGCCTAGATGAGTTCCTTAGAGATGTCTCTTTTTCGGCTGTCAGCAAGATAGTGCCGTCGAAAAGAAAGATTGCGCGCTCGCCGACTGGTATCCTGTTCTCACAAGCTGTCATAATGCCGAAAATAGAAAGAACCAGCAGTCTGTCATTGTACCGGTACTGTTCCGTGATTGTAGTTTACGAGAATATGAATTCCAACCTTGAAAAACAATCGCTGCCTGTTTTTGTCGTTGTCTAAGAAGTTTATACTGTTTCTGAAGAGCGGCCATATCCGACAGTTTAGCCCCCCAATGCGGTTTTCCATCTGAAGTTTCGAATGCACGAATGCTCAAGTTGATTTATATGAGTCACTCAAATGCGATGTCTGTATTTTCATTTATGGGTGCAATATAACCTGAGTTGCAGTTGACACATAGCGCATGCTCAGAATCAGATGCGTCATCATCGGTGAAATGCAATTGTTGTTTATGAAATTGCGTGAATGTGGACGGATGAGATTCCACATTCCAGGCGAAACGATTTCTCAACTCTGCAATCCCTGGATACGGAAATTCCGACATCGTGTACACGATCTGCAAACGGCATATCACCTTCAGTGCCAACCGAAGCTTTTACAGGTCAAACCCGAATTAAGACCGTTACACACTTACGATCAATCTTACTTACGATGGAGTTTAACTTTTTGAGCGGTCAAAATGGGAACCTTATTCAGCGAAACTATTTCAATACAATAACAGTGGCATATTATCCTTGCAAACTGCGGGTTTATCTCAATGATATCCATAAATAAATCAGCACACAAATAATTACTGTTTCAGAGAGTCATAACAGGACTTGTCAAGTCTCAATATTCTCTGTTATTTCAGTGTCAATCTCATGTTCCTCATTTGCCAACCAGAAGAAGAATATCATCTTGTTCAGATGAACCTATGAAAAGATTATTGATGTCGAACTGAAAATCAAAGTGATTAGGCAGTATGAAGCCTATATCTTTGGGTAACTTTGTGCAGGAGAAGGATTTTGAAGCATGTGTAAATAATATGAGCGAGAAAAGGAAGATGCTATTGATAAAATCGACTAGTCGATTGTGGATCTCGCGAAACGAATGAATTTAGAACGTACTGTAAGGAGCTCATTGAATCTGAAGCAGAAGATTTTTCAAATGAAGACCCCGCTGCAATGAAATCATGCAACAAGTCAAAGCAAGATGTAGAAGATGGTGAAAATAAGAAACTGAAAAGAAATTTACCTCCAAAGAGTTGACTGAACAATTCTCACATGTCAATAAAACACTTGTATGTTTGCAGAGAATGAGTGACATTAATGAGAGATTAATGAAAATCAGCAAACAAAATCAAGATGATCTGTAATGTCCTCATGAAATCTATGAAGAGAAGAAGAAAAAAGCCTCACAATCTAAGAGCAGCACATTAAAAAAACTGATACTGAAGGACGAAAGACTGCCAAAGTTATTACTACGATAATGACAAACACATACATACGAAACGTAATCATTAAGAACCTCACGGGAGCAACCTTTAACTTAAATTTGTTCATTCGAATCTAATGTAATTTGGAATTTTAGAACTTCAAATATGCATCGATACATCACGCGTTATTGTATCTGTATAGCTTAAACATGGCTTAAAATTCAATAACATTCTAGTAAACGTAGCGTATGGTGCTAATGCTTTGGGAATTCGCTTTCGGAATTGTTTTTTCTAATAATTTCAATTCATCTTCGCAATTTTAATCCATCTATGCAATTATAGTGCCTATAATGAAGAATAACTTCATTATACGTCACTATAATTGCCAAATGAATTTTATTAATATACTTACTGTATGCTATTTATCATTTTATGCTTCACAAGTTTCTGGTGCATCACAATAATCAATTACTCCGATATATTAAACGCGTCAATGAACAGTTACAATCGATGAGCAATTTCTAACAAAATACGTTCATTTATGCCCAAAAAAAAGAAGTACGAATATTTGGATATAATTTGCAACTTTGGTCTGACACACGACCAAAGCTATCTTGCGAAGAAGTTCTTAAGTCGGGTTTGACCTATATTATCCACCATTCAAAAAGTGAACATTCGTTGTCAAAGAAATCTGCTGAAATGAATTTTTCGTGCGAGGTCAATGTAAGTACCATCTAAAACGCATAATGCGAATAATTAAATGAATGAAAATCTAATGTTTGTAAAAATTGTCTGATTATTCACCGAAATGAAATTGTCGATTTCGGATTTACGCATCTCTGTTAACTTTTGACATAACGTTCCCATGAGTGTATAAAAATGATCCGTACTTGTTGTTTGAAGTATTTTCCTGTAACATACGCAAAAAAAAGTATTTACCTGTTCCCAAGCAGTACTAATTCATCTATCAACATAATTTATTAAAATTATTCACAGAGAACAAGTGTGCATTGCACATTGATCGATTAGAATTTAGAAAGTATATTTGCATGATGCAAACTGGCTACAATGCAAAGAATTACTGTAAGTAAAATTTAGATTAATGAAAGTGCTAACTGACTTGCTTAATTTAGCCCATATGGCAAGTGAAGCACGGAGTAAAACTTCGGAGCCCTCTAGAACTAGAGCATCCCAGAGGCGGTAAACACATGTTTTTGGGAGACACGTTGCAAACAATGTCAAAAACCAATGCATCGAGAAGACATTTGATAGCGGCGGTTCACTTTCACNAAAAAAAAAGACTTATACAAATGTTATAAATTCATTGAGCATTCAAGAATCTATGCAATGCTCAATTTCCGCTCGTTTTCTGTTCATAAAACGTATTTGCTCGTTGATTTGAAACAAAAATTATTCGTTTCAAACATCGGAAACAGCCATATGAAATATGGTATACCCGAATTGCGTTGTAATTCATTAAGATGTCGAGCTGTCTTAGGTAATCGTTGGTGTAACAGTGTTCGCAGCACAGCCATATCGACTGAGAGTGCTCGCAAAGATTGATCAAAATACCCTTGTGGTAGTACTTGCTCGATCAGGAAAATCATTATCTACGAGATTTTTACATATATCATTCCATAAAGCACTACTGAAATCCTTAAATAATAGTAGAAAACAAAATTGAAAGCGGTTTTCGGTTGAAAATTTCAAATGAGATGTATTTTTCAGATCAGAATGTATTTTGTATTTTTATTTCAGATGAGAATGAGCATCACTGTTTTGGAAATAATTTAAAAATCACTGCAAAACATATACTTCATTGATGAATAATCTCTTGCCTACAGCCTGCGCAATCCTTATAAGATTGGTTTTTGAGAAAATTTTTTTCCAATTAGATCCTACTTTATGAAACTTTATCGAATTAGTTTCCGAGAAATTATCCAAAGGCATCCCCGAATGAGCCCAAACAAACAATAAGCCACGCTGGAATATAAAATAAAACCTTTAAAGCACATTCCTCCTTGAAATCAGTCACTTCCAGCACCAATGCCGCAATTACATTGAATCCTTGGCAATAACCAATCACCTTATTGTAACGAGCATATCCAAGCAAAACACGTTTCAAGTGAATCCTCTCTGCTTCACCACATATTCCCGACCAACCCGTTCGATGTAGGTCCTTGAAGTGATAAAAAAGCTTTTAAGAACATTACTGAAAGCCATCCAGGTGACTTTGAAGCAATAAATATATTTGCTCTTCTCAGTGCCTTAAGAGTTTCGGTTCTTTTCTTCATTTCGATTACAACAGGTGGAAATTTATTGTTAATTTGTGTAGTAGAAGAGTATTCAGTGTGTTTTTTTTTTGATAAATCAATTTGATGGAGGAGCTGGAATGAAGAAACGATTTATTAATCAATTTTTAAACGAAAAGCAACTTTGATGATTTGAAAACTGAGACGATCATCGTCAGGATTAATTTTCTCACTGAACGCCACTTTTCGAGTATGTTCCCAGTCAATGCCTAATCGATCGATATAGTAATCAGCGAGCGTAATCCATAACTGAAACATGAATTGTCCAATTAAAATATTCTATGGAATTCATTTGGTGAGCGCAATCGCCATTAGATTACAGTTGAATTTCACAGTGGATCGACAAAAATGGATCGTTGAATCGAGTGATGAAATCAGAATGGTGCACAAAAGGTTGACCTTTCTTCTGAAGTAATTTGGAATGCCATCTGGCAAGCGAGTAAGTGCCTTCATAGCATTCAACCACTCCTGGAAACCACTTTCCGTGCTCGGTGCTTCTAACGAGAATTGCAATTTTGTGTCGACACCTTAAAATTTTTTTCACAGTTCCACCACTGAACTTATCTCAAATATGTACTTTAATTGATGCGACAGCGATGTGCAGACAGCTTCGTTTCATGACATTAGATTCATTTAATTTTTTTTTCAAAATTCCAATTTGAACTCTATTGTCATATGAGCAAAGCATTTTGACTGAATGTTTTTACCAGTCACATGTAAGTGAATTGCATGAGTTCATTGGTTGGTTGATTAGTTGAACTCAGTGATTTATACGCTGAAAGAACATTTTGGTAAAATGAAGTAAAAATAAGTTTGTGTTTCAAAGCAAACTCCGTTTTTGAGAGAGTGCTTGCAGTACGGCTGTAATGATATCGTATCGCGTTGTTTGTCGACTAGCTTGATGAGTTCGCTGCTTCAGCGCTTTCAGAAGTTTCATATTTGCATATTCAACATCAATCCGCATTTGTTTTATGCGTTCTTTCAGCGATTCGCAATCTGAATGAGCATCTCTATTACATCAGCATTTCCTTTTTATCATTCACCATTAACATTCCTCTTAAACGATTTCCTCATTTTCATGAAGTTCACCCAAACCATTCGTCACATTCAAGCACTGATGAGTTCGGTGAGAAGAAGCGAGAATAAATGAAATGAGATGTAATTTTAAATTATGAAGATGGACCAAGCTGCTGTAGTTGTTGTTCGGTGAATGAGGAGAAGGTTGTTCGTTGCGAGCAATCCGAAAAATGTGAGCTGTCTGTGGCAACGTCCGCATCGCTACTGCAATGAATTTTGAAGCCGTAAGAAAGTCTTGGCACTTTCAAGTATGGATATGTTTGATACGAAACATCGTATGAAGACGGCTTTTTTTGTTGAGAAAATGACAATTAAAACAAATAGCAACAACGAGAAGTGGATTAAATTCAACGAATGAAACGCTAAATGTTATTGAGGGATTTCTTGTGAAATTAAAATTTTTCAGCATCCAATACAAGAGTCGATTCGAATAAATAAATTATAATAATTCATATTGTCAAAAACTCTTGAAGCGAACCTGATGCGCCTTCGTGAATCCTCATAAAGCATACCCAACAGTCTCTCTAGGCTAGCGCGTCGTCGGCATATCATCTCAGGACAATCATCCTCGACTCTCAACAGTGTTAGTTTTGATATAAATTTATGTTACTTCCAGCAAAAGAGTTAAAATCAAATAATTCTAAAAGAGATTGCAGATCTACCTTGTAATACCAATCGCTGTTGTTGGTTGATGCTGCTGAATAGATTCTAAATTCAATGACTGATCCTGCAATGAGTGATTGAAGATAATGCCTCACCGTACAACATTTACAAATCAACAATTTTCGCATTTCGTTTTCACTCCAAAGAATCCGAACTCAACTCAAATATGGAATTTTTTAGAGCAGCAAAATTCATATTTAAACAGGAAAACATACTTGAACGCCCTTTGGCATAGCAGAATCGCACGTTATTGAATGCAAAGAGGTGGTCGTTTTGGAAAACTGTGAACAAATGCTTTCAATGGGTGAATTCGGCACTGAACTGAAAAAATGATCGAACAACAGCGTATAATTTGAATTGGAATAACAACAACTTATTCCATCCGCTTAATTCTAAAAAAAAAGAATTATGCGGAGAGCATAAATCACTGTAGTTGTAAGCTGATCGCTTACGAAATTTCAAAGTAGGAATTTTTTAATTCAGCCGAAGTACGAATGCAAAATTTCCGAAAGCATTGATCTGATGAGGAGGACTCCTGTGCTTTAAATGTGTTCCATAGTGAAATTCAACGCTCAGAAATGAATACAAACCTCTTATGATACTTCGTGTCTGAAACAGATTGCACAGGCGACAGAAGATCTTCCACGAATCCCATCGATCTTAAACATTAGTCAATGAATTTGTTCATCAAGAAAACTTGAACTAGTAAGCAATCGGACGAATCGATCCCACTTCAAACACTTTCCAGATGAATTATTGCAAAGGACATCGTTGAAGCATTAACAAAACTCATTGGTGGAAACACACACTTAAGTAAATCGTTGCTTTTGTGTTCGGTGATCGAATAGATCACAAGAAATGCCTCATTAGTGATTACCGAAGTGGCGGATCAACTTGATAGCATAGTAATCAAATCAAATTACGTAAAGTGATTAGGCAAGAATGATTTGAAGAAGCCAGATTGAAGCGTTCACCCAAAAAATTGCCACAGAAGTAGTCTTGAAAGAAGAGTCAATGAATCAGATGCATTTCATTAACAAAAGCACGGTGAAACAAAGTACAAACCGAATGCCTACAACACCAACAGTAATCAAAGGCGACTGGCTGGAATAATAATGCGGCTTATGAATACGTATGATATTAGCGATTCAACGTTCTACTCGTAGTAATTTTTTATAATCCTGTTCGCTGAATCATTTCATGTATTGATTGTTTTGTCTGGTGATTAGTAGCAAACATGAAGGGCACATATCAAGTACAAAAGAATATTCATCAAAGCATTGACAATTTTAGCTATCCAAAATCACAGTGGCGTGAACATTAGGAAGCAACGACGTGTCTCGGCACAGCACAGACTCGTCTGTCTTGAACTGTGCTCTAATCGGAATTCATTTCTTCCTAATAAGCAATTTATTTCACATCAATGCCTTCTCGGCATTCATCTTTTGAGCACACTTTTACTGTTACAGCAATAGCGCGACAGCTACCTTGCTTATTATGGACAGATTAAAAAAGTATAACATATGGTGTGATACGTATGCGGACTACTGAAGCATTTCATAAATTAATGCTTAAATAGCAAACCTCGAAGATCGTATCATGTCTACTGAAGCAATTCTCGAAGTTTGTCACCAAAGGTGAATTGATCAATTCACTCGAAAACAGTGATTGATTAAGTTGGTACAAACATAGCACTAAATTCGATAGAAACAAATTCATGAATCATTTTAAATAAAGTGTTAAAACTATTGAAATTTTTCGGTAATTCAGCAGAATCAGTAAATGAGATACATTAAACGAGGTTTCACGAAAATTACTGCCCACTGAATGGAAGTGATCTGCTGAATTCAAAACTGTTAGATACAGATTTGTTTAAATAGCTGCCAATGATTGCTTGGACTGTTATTTCCGAAATTTTTTCGTTCGCGTAAGTCTGTTTATCTATCAACGCCACTGTTTGCCAATTGATCCAAACAATACGTTTATTTTTCGGTTGCGAATCCTTCTTCATCACTGTTATTATTGCCGTTACACTTTTCAATGAATAATTTCAAAATTGAATGATTTTAATGAATATTTCAGAACTTAAACAAACAACTGCAAAGAGTCCGTAATTTTTGCTGATGCCTCTGTCGAAATAGCATGTGCTTCATTCAGTAAACTTAACGCTGATTATCACTCAAGAAAATCTCGTTGGATTTGCAGATTCGTGACAGCTCAAACAAAAAAAAAAGAGACCAAAAAAACCACTGATAATATATGNATATATGAAGAAATTTGTCTGGTGATTGAAGAGCATCGCTGACAGTGACTGCAGCTGAAGCAAATTAGATTCCGAAATTCGGGAAAACTGCTTTGCATGTACGAAATAAACAAAAAAAAAACGAGAAACGAGGAGAAGTGGGGAAATAGAAATGGGAAGAAATAGAGTCGATTTATAATGGCTGCATCAATATTATTTGCATCCATCACGTGCCAACGTTCGATTCAGCTCGATTTCTGAGCAATCGTCTCATACACATAAGCTTTATGGTAATA